ACAAATAGTTGGAGTTAACCTGTTAATCACAAATAGTTGGAGTTAACCTGTTAACTACAAATAGTTGGAGTTAACCTATTAATCACAAATAGTTGGAGTTAACCTGTTAATCACAAATAGTTGGAGTTAACCTATTAATCACAAATAGTTGGAGTTAACCTGTTAATTACAAATAGTTGGAGTTAACCTGTTAATCACAAATAATTGAAGTTAACCTGTTAATCACAAATAGTTGGAGTTAATCTGTTAATCACAAATAGTTGGAGTTAACCTGTTAATCACAAATAGCTGGAGTTAACCTATTAATCACAAATAGTTGGAGTTAACCTGTTAATCACAAATAGTTGGAGTTAACCTGTTAATCACAAATAGTTGGAGTTAACCTATTAATTACAAATAGTTGGAGTTAACCTATTAGTCACAAATAGTTGGAGTTAACCTATTAATCACAAATAGTTGGAGTTAATGTGTTAATCACAAATAGCTGGAGTTAACCTGTTAATAACAAATAGTTGGAGTTAACCTATTAATCACAAATAGCTGAAGTTAACCTGTTAATCACAAATAGCTGGAGTTAGCCTGTTAATCACAAATGAACTAAAACAATGGTGAAGTATCTCCAACATTATTAAAGACATTTTCACTAGATGTTCTCACCTCTTCCCCCCTAAAAAAACCTTAGACGACAAGGTTAGGGCTTCTAGAAAGAAAGAGTATACAGAATTTTGACGAATTAAAAAACTGTTATCTTTAGTAACTACTAATTTCTCTTTTAGCATTATGATATATATTTAATTTAAGAAACGTCTTGGGATACTCCATTCCAATTTCACGAACCCTGGCGGGAGGAACATTCGTGTATGTCGTTTAGAAATTAACGTGCCAGGTTATGATCGCAAAATAATAACGAAATAGTGCGAATATCCGAAAACAAACAAACAATTTACGAGACGAAACTAACCGTTAATTAAGTATATATCGAATGATGGACGATAAGAAAAATGACAAAAGTAATTAAATAATTCAATAACTTCACTCAGTTTGTGCTCCTGTCTTATAAAATAACATGGAAAACTGGAACTTAAGATTTCGTAATCAATATTCAGTAGAAAATTGTTTGCCTCATCAACAGTGAAGGTTTGAACTTTGCTATTTTCCTCACTGAAACGCAAATTCTAAAAGGTTTTGAAGACTCAGTTATAAAATAAAATAAACAAATATACATGAACACTTAGAACAATGTAAATAACACAAACACAGACATAACTATAGATCAAAATAAATCCATAAACACAGTAAGACAGAAACTAGCAGTCGCGAACAACAACATACAAAATTCACCAGATAATAAATAAAATAGCCAAATCATAGGAATTATTCCATACGTAGGAAACATATTATAAAAATAAGGAACAACCAAGAAACAAAATTCATTCAAAAACTGGACTAAAAAAGATTCACTAAAATAACTCTTACAGTAATAAATGGACCTACCTATAAATTATCTGTGACCAGTATAAACCTAAAACACGACTTAATAAACTTTTCAAAGGACTATCACATGTGGTTATAACCAAAGACTGAGGGTCGCGGGTTCGAATCCCCGTCCCACCAAACATGCTCGCCCTTTCATCCGTGGGT